GTCCTCTACCCATGTCCTCTACCCATGTCCTCTACCCATGTCCTCTACCCATGTCCTCTACCCATGTCCTCTACCCATGTCCTCTACCCATGTCCTCTACCCATGTCCTCTACCCATGTCCTCTACCCATGTCCTCTACCCATGTCCTCTACCCATGTCCTCTACCCATGTCCTCTACCCATGTCCTCTACCCATGTCCTCTACCCATGTCCTCTACCCATGTCCTCTACCCATGTCCTCTACCCATGTCCTCTACCCATGTCCTCTACCCATGTCCTCTACCCATGTCCTCTACCCATGTCCTCTACCCATGTCCTCTACCCATGTCCTCTACCCATGTCCTCTACCCATGTCCTCTACCCATGTCCTCTACCCATGTCCTCTACCCATGTCCTCTACCCATGTCCTCTACCCATGTCCTCTACCCATGTCCTCTACCCATGTCCTCTACCCATGTCCTCTACCCATGTCCTCTACCCATGTCCTCTACCCATGTCCTCTACCCATGTCCTCTACCCATGTCCTCTACCCATGTCCTCTACCCATGTCCTCTACCCATGTCCTCTACCCATGTCCTCTACCCATGTCCTCTACCCATGTCCTCTACCCATGTCCTCTACCCATGTCCTCTACCCATGTCCTCTACCCATGTCCTCTACCCATGTCCTCTACCCATGTCCTCTACCCATGTCCTCTACCCATGTCCTCTACCCATGTCCTCTACCCATGTCCTCTACCCATGTCCTCTACCCATGTCCTCTACCCATGTCCTCTACCCATGTCCTCTACCCATGTCCTCTACCCATGTCCTCTACCCATGTCCTCTACCCATGTCCTCTACCCATGTCCTCTACCCATGTCCTCTACCCATGTCCTCTACCCATGTCCTCTACCCATGTCCTCTACCCATGTCCTCTACCCATGTCCTCTACCCATGTCCTCTACCCATGTCCTCTACCCATGTCCTCTACCCATGTCCTCTACCCATGTCCTCTACCCATGTCCTCTACCCATGTCCTCTACCCATGTCCTCTACCCATGTCCTCTACCCATGTCCTCTACCCATGTCCTCTACCCATGTCCTCTACCCATGTCCTCTACCCATGTCCTCTACCCATGTCCTCTACCCATGTCCTCTACCCATGTCCTCTACCCATGTCCTCTACCCATGTCCTCTACCCATGTCCTCTACCCATGTCCTCTACCCATGTCCTCTACCCATGTCCTCTACCCATGTCCTCTACCCATGTCCTCTACCCATGTCCTCTACCCATGTCCTCTACCCATGTCCTCTACCCATGTCCTCTACCCATGTCCTCTACCCATGTCCTCTACCCATGTCCTCTACCCATGTCCTCTACCCATGTCCTCTACCCATGTCCTCTACCCATGTCCTCTACCCATGTCCTCTACCCATGTCCTCTACCCATGTCCTCTACCCATGTCCTCTACCCATGTCCTCTACCCATGTCCTCTACCCATGTCCTCTACCCATGTCCTCTACCCATGTCCTCTACCCATGTCCTCTACCCATGTCCTCTACCCATGTCCTCTACCCATGTCCTCTACCCATGTCCTCTACCCATGTCCTCTACCCATGTCCTCTACCCATGTCCTCTACCCATGTCCTCTACCCATGTCCTCTACCCATGTCCTCTACCCATGTCCTCTACCCATGTCCTCTACCCATGTCCTCTACCCATGTCCTCTACCCATGTCCTCTACCCATGTCCTCTACCCATGTCCTCTACCCATGTCCTCTACCCATGTCCTCTACCCATGTCCTCTACCCATGTCCTCTACCCATGTCCTCTCTACCCATGTCCTCTACCCATGTCTCCTCTACCCATGTCCTCTACCCATGTTCCTTACCCATGTCCTCTACCCATCGTCCTCTACCCATGTCCTCTACCCATGTCCTCTACCAGTCCTATACCCATGTCCCTCTACCCATGTCCTCTACCCCATGTCCTCCTACCCATGTCCTCTACCCATGTTCCTCTACCCATGTCCCTCTACCCATGTCCTCTACCCATGTCCTCTACCCATGTCCTCTACCCATGTCCTCTACCCATGTCCTCGTACCCATGTCCTCTACCCATGTCTCTACCCTGTCCCTCTACCCATGTCCTCCTACCCATGTCCTCTACCATGTTTTCCTCTACCCATGTCTCTACCATTGTCCTCTACCCATGTCCTCTACCCATGTCCCTCTACCCATGGTCCTCTACCCTTGTCCTCTCCCATGTCCTCTACCCATGTCCTTACCCATGTTCCTCTACCCATGTCCTCTACCCATGTCCTCCTACCCATGTCCTCTACCCCATGTCCTCTACCCATGTCCTCTACCCATGTCCTCTACCCATGTCCTCTACCCATGTCCTCCTACCCATGTCCTCTACCCATGTCCTCTACCCATGTCCTCTACCCATGTCCTCTACCCATGTCCTCTACCCATGTCCTCTACCCATGTCCTCTACCCATGTCCTCTACCCATGTCCTCTACCCATGTCCTCTACCCATGTCCTCTACCCATGTCCTCTACCCATGTCCTCTACCCATGTCCTCTACCCATGTCCTCTACCCATGTCCTCTACCCATGTCCTCTACCCATGTCCTCTACCCATGTCCTCTACCCATGTCCTCTACCCATGTCCTCTACCCATGTCCTCTACCCATGTCCTCTACCCATGTCCTCTACCCATGTCCTCTACCCATGTCCTCTACCCATGTCCTCTACCCATGTCCTCTACCCATGTCCTCTACCCATGTCCTCTACCCATGTCCTCTACCCATGTCCTCTACCCATGTCCTCTACCCATGTCCTCTACCCATGTCCTCTACCCATGTCCTCTACCCATGTCCTCTACCCATGTCCTCTACCCATGTCCTCTACCCATGTCCTCTACCCATGTCCTCTACCCATGTCCTCTACCCATGTCCTCTACCCATGTCCTCTACCCATGTCCTCTACCCATGTCCTCTACCCATGTCCTCTACCCATGTCCTCTACCCATGTCCTCTACCCATGTCCTCTACCCATGTCCTCTACCCATGTCCTCTACCCATGTCCTCTACCCATGTCCTCTACCCATGTCCTCTACCCATGTCCTCTACCCATGTCCTCTACCCATGTCCTCTACCCATGTCCTCTACCCATGTCCTCTACCCATGTCCTCTACCCATGTCCTCTACCCATGTCCTCTACCCATGTCCTCTACCCATGTCCTCTACCCATGTCCTCTACCCATGTCCTCTACCCATGTCCTCTACCCATGTCCTCTACCCATGTCCTCTACCCATGTCCTCTACCCATGTCCTCTACCCATGTCCTCTACCCATGTCCTCTACCCATGTCCTCTACCCATGTCCTCTACCCATGTCCTCTACCCATGTCCTCTACCCATGTCCTCTACCCATGTCCTCTACCCATGTCCTCTACCCATGTCCTCTACCCATGTCCTCTACCCATGTCCTCTACCCATGTCCTCTACCCATGTCCTCTACCCATGTCCTCTACCCATGTCCTCTACCCATGTCCTCTACCCATGTCCTCTACCCATGTCCTCTACCCATGTCCTCTACCCATGTCCTCTACCCATGTCCTCTACCCATGTCCTCTACCCATGTCCTCTACCCATGTCCTCTACCCATGTCCTCTACCCATGTCCTCTACCCATGTCCTCTACCCATGTCCTCTACCCATGTCCTCTACCCATGTCCTCTACCCATGTCCTCTACCCATGTCCTCTACCCATGTCCTCTACCCATGTCCTCTACCCATGTCCTCTACCCATGTCCTCTACCCATGTCCTCTACCCATGTCCTCTACCCATGTCCTCTACCCATGTCCTCTACCCATGTCCTCTACCCATGTCCTCTACCCATGTCCTCTACCCATGTCCTCTACCCATGTCCTCTACCCATGTCCTCTACCCATGTCCTCTACCCATGTCCTCTACCCATGTCCTCTACCCATGTCCTCTACCCATGTCCTCTACCCATGTCCTCTACCCATGTCCTCTACCCATGTCCTCTACCCATGTCCTCTACCCATGTCCTCTACCCATGTCCTCTACCCATGTCCTCTACCCATGTCCTCTACCCATGTCCTCTACCCATGTCCTCTACCCATGTCCTCTACCCATGTCCTCTACCCATGTCCTCTACCCATGTCCTCTACCCATGTCCTCTACCCATGTCCTCTACCCATGTCCTCTACCCATGTCCTCTACCCATGTCCTCTACCCATGTCCTCTACCCATGTCCTCTACCCATGTCCTCTACCCATGTCCTCTACCCATGTCCTCTACCCATGTCCTCTACCCATGTCCTCTACCCATGTCCTCTACCCATGTCCTCTACCCATGTCCTCTACCCATGTCCTCTACCCATGTCCTCTACCCATGTCCTCTACCCATGTCCTCTACCCATGTCCTCTACCCATGTCCTCTACCCATGTCCTCTACCCATGTCCTCTACCCATGTCCTCTACCCATGTCCTCTACCCATGTCCTCTACCCATGTCCTCTACCCATGTCCTCTACCCATGTCCTCTACCCATGTCCTCTACCCATGTCCTCTACCCATGTCCTCTACCCATGTCCTCTACCCATGTCCTCTACCCATGTCCTCTACCCATGTCCTCTACCCATGTCCTCTACCCATGTCCTCTACCCATGTCCTCTACCCATGTCCTCTACCCATGTCCTCTACCCATGTCCTCTACCCATGTCCTCTACCCATGTCCTCTACCCATGTCCTCTACCCATGTCCTCTACCCATGTCCTCTACCCATGTCCTCTACCCATGTCCTCTACCCATGTCCTCTACCCATGTCCTCTACCCATGTCCTCTACCCATGTCCTCTACCCATGTCCTCTACCCATGTCCTCTACCCATGTCCTCTACCCATGTCCTCTACCCATGTCCCTTCTCCTGCTTGCCCGCTCCATTTTCTCCCTCCCCCGTGTCCCTCCACCTCCCTCTCCCCCACAAAGAAAGTGGAGAAGAAGCGGAAGATCCATGCGTTCAAGTCGAAGCAGCGGATGGAGATGCTGGAGGTGATGACAAACAAGAAGCAGAACACGTGGCAGCAGTTTCAAACCAAGGGCATTAAAAAGAAGGTATGCACCGACCTCTCCCCATTCCCTTCGCAATGTTGCTTCTGTTCCCGTCAATGCCCGTCTTTTCATGTCCCTCCTGCAGTCCCTCCCTCCATCTTTCTCTCACTCCTTTCCTTAACTCCCTATTTTCTCCCTCGCTTCCTTCACTCCCCACCAGCAGTCTGCCATTCTGCTTATGCGTGTGTATGCACATGCATGTGCCTCATCTCCATCTTTCTCACTCTCCTAACGTCATCTATTCCTTACTGTTACACCTCTCTTAACGGATCAACTTCTGAGATGGCTCGATTCTTGAGACTGCTCAAAGGCTTGCACGCACACCTCACGTACGCCTCATGTGCACCTCACACGTGCACCTCATACGTGCACCTCACACGTGCACCTCACACGTGCACCTCACACATGCACCTCAAGTGCACCTCACGTGCACATCACGTGTACCTCCTGAGAGGCTGCAGCGTCTGCCCTTGGCACTTGAATGCGAACTCTCCTCACTTGTTCTTCACGTTTCACAATCTTGCGAGCTCTCTCATCTCTTTCCACAACTGATAGGCCTCATCTCAGCAACCACATCTGTGTTCTCTCTCCTCCCATCCCCTCCCCTCCCACCCCCCCAGGCGGGCTTCCTGACAGGCCACAAGGAGGAGAGCATCCTGAGTCGTCTCAAGACAGCTTGTTATCAAGTGACCACATCCGATAGGCCTCATCTTAGCAACCAAATCTCCTCCCTTCTCTCCCCTCTCATCCCACCCCCCCAGGCGGGCTTCCTGACAGGCCGCAAGAAGGAGAGCATTCTCAAATGTCTTGATGCGTCTCATAACAACCTTCATACCGAGGAGAGCATCCTGAGTCGTCTCAAGACAGCTTGTTATCAAGTGACCACATCCGATAGGCCTCATCTTAGCAACCAAATCTCCCCCCTTCTCTCCCCTCCCATCCCACCCCCCCAGGCGGGCTTCCTGACAGGCTGCAAGAAGGAGAGCATTCTCAAATGTCTTGATACGTCTCATAACAACCTTGATACCACATCTCTCTTCACGCTCCTCCCATTCCATCCTACCCCGCCAGGCGGGCTTCCTGACAGGCCGCAAGAAGGAGAGCATTTTCAAGTCGCCAGAGGACGTGGGGGGGAAGGTGGGGGTGGTGGGGAGCGGGCAGGGCATGACAGACTTTCAGAAGAGAGACAAGAATCTCAACCTGCGCGCACAGGGCCAGGCAGAGGAGGACTAGTAGGAAGTACTACACTCACAATCTGTACTGTACGATAATGTGTATCCACGTTACAGATGTCATTGTGCTGATGTAGGTAGTGCAAGTTAAATAAAAATATATCTACTAGTTTCTGATGTTGGAAACAAGTAATTTATAGCGCTTCTGTCGTATCGAAGCTGCGACACAAAACGGAACTGACTACAGCGAAGAAGCATCCGAGTTAACTGTCGGAGGTTACGCGAAGGTCAAAGGTCTCCGACCTTTGACCTGACGAAACGTACAGTGCGACAGCAAGGACACATAACTGACTCGTTACAGAGCAGTTACCCGAGTCGGCACTGTATCGAACCGCAACAGCAAAAACAGTTAAATTAGAACTCTTTAAATTCCCTGTAATCATATAAAAGGCCCGTATCTCTTTGCTATTGTTCAACTTATCTTGTTCTCACAAACCAGCACAAGGTGGTTCACGTCAACTCTTCATTAAAAGCTTCCGCTGTTACAACTCTACATCAATACCCGATCTTAGTCCTGAAGGGTTCATAAGGGCTTTTTCAGCCCAACATGGTATGAGAGCAAGGCAGGACAAGATCACTCTTTAAACCTTTTTTTTCTTTTTACAATACAAGCCATGGCTACACAAAAGGAGAGGAGCTCCTCCAACGGATCTCTCGGCACCACCCCTACTCCACCTCCAGTCTCCGGTCTTCAGACAGAAGAAGGCACAAGACCAGCTGCAGAGTCAACGGAAATCCCTGGAAATCAAGCGGCAGGCTTCGACTCAAATATGATGGAGAAATTCTTCTCCTTCATGTCCTTCTACGAGCAACACCAGCAAGCAGCTCCTGCACAATCATACAACAGCAACAACAACAGAGCGACACCAATGAGTCTTGATGGTTCATCGTACGCGCGCTGAAACCAACAGCAACCTACCTTTGCTCCGTATGAGCCTCAACGTGGCTCCGTCAGTCTCGCGCCACAGCCGCAACCCTCACCTGGACAAGAAAAGACACTGGACGCGCTTCAGGTGCAATCGCAATTCGCACACGTTCTCAAATTACAAACTTCAACGCTTTTCGACGGAAAGGATTTCTATACCTGGTCCTTCGAGTTTGAACTGATGATGGAGGGCACACAAATTCTTGGATTCTTCGACGGGTCCCTGCCATATCCAGTACATGGGACACAGTACGAAAAGCATCAATATACGTATCAGTCGCTGATGGCGTATACGATACTTCTTCGAAACTTGACGCCAAACGAGCAACAGAACATTCGTTCTTATCGAGGATACGGCAACTCCGCCGAGTTGGCACACAACCATTTGAAGAGCCTGTATCAAGCAACAGACAGCGTTAACCAAAGTCGTCTCATGGCGCAATTGACAACAGTGGAAATGAAACCCGGTGAAAAGGGAATGGCTTATATTAGCCGTTGTCGCGGACTGCGCGACAGACTCCTTCGATGCGGAGGGTCAATTTCAGAAGAAGCATTTGTAACAGTCATCATCGCCGGCCTTGGTCCTCATTGGCGCTCCACTCGAGCACTTCTTCGAGCTCATGGAAAAATCTCCGAAGCATCACTCTGCGCCGAAATCCACGCTGAACAGCAAGACATGGACCTGCACGAAGAACGACATAAGAAGAAAGCATTAGCACCGGAGTTCGCCTTTCATACTCAACGACGCTACAACAACAACCGACACAACAATAGACAAGTACAACAATACGTCCCACCGTTTTGTCACCTTTGCAAGACGTCCGGCCATCCGCGCACACACTGCCCAAATCAGCAGCAGTCAACAACACCGCAACGACAACTTCGGCCGTCAAGCAGTCAAGTAGCCTCTACGGAGGTGCATCCCAACAGTCAAGTGCAGCCTTCAATATCCTCATCGCAATCTGCACAGGGAACAAGAAACATCGTCAGCTGCATGACAAGGACGAGGGATTCCTACATCACCGGATCACCACCCTACTACTCACCAGAAGACCAACTCGATGAAAGGACTCCCCGCCGCAACTCATTGGAGCCCAATCCGACGTATGCAGCTATCGCCCAAAGCGAACCGTCCGGACAAGACACCTGGTTCTTGGACAGTTGCTGCGGACAACACATGTGTTCTTCAAGTCGTTTCGTTCAACAAGAACATCAACTTCAACGCGAAGTCGTCATCACCGTGGCCAACAATCAAAGCCTGCACACACGACGACAAGGCGTAGTACAACTTCAATCCAGAGAGACTAACGTCATCTTGCAAATGTCTAAAGTGTTGATTGCAGAAGGACTTGGCTACAACTTACTAAGCGTCAGCCAACTGATGGCGAAGGGGATCCATCTTGAAGCAGACAGCACCACACAGGAGTTCAAGCTCTTCCACGGTCGAGGAGGGCTCTACATCGGCAAAGCAGTATTGAAGAACAACGTCTTCGTCCTCGACTTTGTACCAGATCAAGGAACGGCCGATAGCGACGCCATCGTCAACTTCGCCCCCTGGACACATCCACCGGACCTCGACCCTGACTTCAGCCCCGGAGGGTTCTGGTATTCACATACCATACCTGAAGCAAAAAGAACACGAGCATTAGCAACAATCCGACAAGAAGTGACAACATCGACAGCAGCAGAGACAACATCGGCAACACCAACAACACTTACAACACCAATCGCGAGCTCTTCGACGGCATCGCCACATATCGACAACACTCCACCGACCCCTGCGCAGCAGCTAGCTCCCACTCCTCGAGAAGTTCACAGAAGCACCAACTTCACCGCCGTCTTTTACTCCAACTCCGACTTGTATAGGCGCTCACCCGAACATCGTGCGAGTGAGTCCCTGTGGCACGAACGACTAGGACATCCAAGCAACACCACGTTAAACAACACAATCAAGGCAGCAGTGCTCGACAAAGACTCCCTCCTTTTACCCGACGGTAGAGAACTCCAACGAGTTCGCGGAACTTGCTTTACCTGTCCCGAAGCCGACTTACCGCATCAACCGTTCGCCACTCACCACAATCCAAGTGCGCCAGCTTATACACCACTCGAGAAAGTATACAGCGACATTCTGTATACTCGCGAACAAGGACAAGGCGCATATAATTACGTAATCACCTTCATTGACGCCGCTACCCGTTACGTCTGGCACCTTAATCTTCCAAGTCGCGACATGGCCTTCGAAGCCTTCGTCGCCTGGCTACCAGTGGCAGAACGAGAATCGGGCGCAAAGCTAAAAAGCTTCCAGTCTGATGGAGGAGGGGAATATCAGTCCCAGAGGTTCAGGCAGTACCTCGCAACACGAGGCATCAAGCGACTCATTTCGCTTCCCTACGCCCATCAACAACAAGGCGTGGCAGAACGGATGAATAGAACTCTCCAGAACACCATGCGCAAATTGCTGCGTGGCATGCGACTGCCCAATCACCAGTGGCCTGAGGCAATGGACCACGCTGTTATGCTGCACAACTTGCTTTCGTCGTCGTCACTTCCGAACAACGCATCACCACACCTGCTGTGGACAGGAAAGTTGGGCAACACAAAAATGTTACAAGTCTTCGGGTGCATGGTACAGTATCGCCCACACACTGCAAGAGCCGGAAGATTTTCTCAACGCGCACAGTGGGGACTGCATCTGGGCATCGAAAAGCATTACAACGCATGGAAGATTTTTGACGTCCACTCAAAAGAAACAGTGGCAGCACGTGATGTCATCTTCTACGAGCGACTCACACTTCAAACGTACCTGGACAACCTGGCAGCAAATCGAGACCTCACGGGCGGCTTCCGTGGCAACCGAGCCTTTGCTTCAGCAGCAGACGAAGCTGACTGGGATGAGCAAAATGTGGACAACGCATCCGAAGAAGCAGGACCACTCCCATACTGCTCCGTGCCTATCCCGATGGACGACGGAAATCCTCGCGAAAGCGTCAACGCCGAAACCTATTTCGACTTCGCCGACACCGGTTACGTTACACCTCAACCGGTCGACACCAACATCTCCGAACGCGTAGGACCAAACTTCTTACCAGATCCCGAAGCTGGAGACGAAGCAGTTTATCCAGAGGACACAAATCTTCCCCGCTACACACAGAGTGGCCTGCAGATACTGGGACTTGTCACCGCCGTCCACGGAGCGGAACCACCTAAGGAGCCTGCGACAATTCAGCAGGCTCTGGGGGGGGAACACAAGGAAAAATGGCGTGAAGCCATGGACAAAGAGCTGAAGGCGCTGCAGGAGCGCAACACCTGGAAAGTCGTACCCATCGGAGTGGCACGCAACAAAACTGTCCTCACGGGAAAATGGGTTTTCCGCGTGAAAACAAAAGCTGACGGAACAATTGACAAGTTCAAAGCACGCTGGGTCGTGCGGGGCTTCGACCAAGAACAAGGGCGAGATTTCACGGAGACATTCGCCCCAGTAAGCCGACATACCTCATTACGGATCCTTCTCGCAATCGCCGCCATGAACCGAAAGAAGCTTCGACAAATTGATGTCGCCAACGCCTTCCTCTACGCCCCCGTCGATGCTGAGATTTTCGTCGAACTCCCACACGGATCCAACTCAGGCCCCAACCAAATTTGTCAACTGGAGAAGTTACTATACGGGATTAAGCAAGCCCCGAGATTATGGCAGCAGCACCTTCACGCCCGCCTCATTCACATCGGATTTCTCCAGCTACCACACGACCAAGGGATTTATCGACTGGCGAAAGGCACCGACTACATCCTACTCATCGTCTACGTCGATGATCTTCTCTACATAGGTTCTACCGACGCGGTAACAACGTGGTTTGAAGGGGAGCTGCAGGGAGATCTAACCCTCACCGTCGCAACCACCGTGACACAGTACCTAGGACTGAACATCGAAGACGGCGACAATGCCATCTACCTCAGCGCCGCAAAATACTCGGACACTATTGCTAAACGCTTCGGACTCACCCCAACCACCATCTCCACACCATACCGCTACACCGACGGAAATCGGAAGACCTCCGCCCTACTCAAACCTGCTGGCG